TCGACATGTGTTTCGCCTACAACTTTGCCCAACACTGAAAGAGCAGATGAGATTTTTTCCTCTTTTTTGGGGTGTTTTTCAGGTTTGGTAGCCTCGAATTCCTCCTCTTTGATTTTTTTCACCTTGTTTGGCTTAGTTTGCTTTTTCTCAGATTCTTTGTTCTGTTGCTCGGTCTGCTGTCCTGACAGAGAGGATGAAGGAGGAGGAGGAGGAGGAGGTGGTGGAGGTGGTGGAGTCTGCAGCAAAGGTTTGGTGGGGGCACTGCTGAGAGACAGGGCAGGAGACGAAGTAGCTGAAGTAGGAAACCCAAGCATGCCTGCACCGGGAGGTGTTAAAGCTGAAAATAACAACAGAGAGACAGCCACTGTCAATGTACAGAACAACATCGGAAGTTTGTATGCTTAACACCTAAATACAACTCACTAAGGACATTGCTATATCAGAAAAGATGTATTATACACAATAGGAAATTCATGATCACCACCTGGAACTTCAACATAGGGCTTTCCTATGTTTATAACATTTCTTATATTAGTTTTAACCCCCACCAGTAACTCTAAGAATGTAAGCTGCATATTTTAGCAACAGTTTACTCAGAAAACAGGCTCTCATGTTATGAAAGATGAATAACAAAAAAAATCATCGTGAACTATAGTGGTTCCTTCTAATTGATACACCTTGCAAGATCCCTATTCTGTTACTCATTTTAAGCAATTTTTACTGTACCTCTGGGAAGGCAGGCTCTCTCCGTCCTTCACTTGAGCAGTTCGATAATTACCACGTTCACTAAAAGTAATTATCTATCAAATAAAATGAAATCCATCTGTCTATGTTCCACTAGAAAAATACATTTACATTGAATAAAGAAGGTGATAAGCTAATTAAATAGCGATAGTAAATGATCACTGAAGACACCAAAAAACAAACAACAGCAAAGTCGGAGCCATTCATTACTAGGACTGAACAAGGTTAGCATGATTTCATTTCTAAGAGTGTAGGTTAAGCTGTTCATTACCATCCTGACCACTTGCCTAACCAGGTACTTGACAGGAACTGCATATATTAATAGTCAACTTTACCACCTCCAAAACATACTTCTTCCAGGTTTGCTTGCAGTACGCAAACATGATTCTCACCTCATTAGAGAAGGGAAACTGAATGATCAGTAGGCAGAAACCTATGGGTACAGCATGGCTCCTACAGGAATGTAAAAGATCTTTGCTGTGTTTCAAGTAGCCAATATAACGTAGTGGCTGATAATAACCTATTACACAGCCATTTTTATGAGGTAAATAGTTGGCTGGGAAACTGAAGGACAGCTCAGGACAGAAAAGGGACTTGCAAAAGCCTGTGCCTTTTCTGAAGATGTTTTTAGAGGCAAGTAAAGTTGACTGCAAAAGGAACAGACCAGAGGTCTAATGGCTGGCTGATAGTAATTCATTCTTGAACAAGGGAAGGCTTACTACCAAATGATCATGACAAGGACTGTGATGGCGGTCTGGCATGCACAAGGAAGAATTAACTAGGAGAAGACGAATAAAGTTTAATTATCAGTGCATAGCTCTAGAGGGAATTATCATAAGACTTCATAAAGCCATCTTATTAATATTGGTCATAGTCTTACCTCCATGCTAAATGCAACATGTGAATGTAAAAAAAAAAAAAAAGACGGAGAGAGAGAGACATAATAACTGCATCCTTCTTTTTCCTTAGCTAAGTTAAAAAAAAAAAAAAAAGCCTTCGTAGTTTCTTAATTGATCTTTACCCAACTGAGAAAGCTTAGCATTCAAGATACTATAAAGTCAATATCACTCCCTCCTTGACCCTTATCCTTATCATATTACCCTCAGTTAGCCTAGGGTATTACTGGCTGCTCTTCTTTTTAACTTTGCCACACCCAAGTCTTCTCTGACCTACTTTGATATAATTTCTACAGCTGTAATAGCGATAGTCTCTAAGGAGTTTCCATGATGTTAGAGAACAATCTCCCAACATCCTCAGTGGCAGTGGAGGACTGATGTTAAACATTCCATTTTTAAATAAGAAAACTGAGTCCTAGGAGTGTTAGGTGCTTGACAAAGAGAATCTATAACTCAATGGCAGATGAGCTAGAGGAGACTACATTTCATATCTGTCACTCCAATTTATCTTCTGGTTTAATTGAATCAATTTCAGGGGTTAAATAATTCAAATATTTAAGATGCAAAAAGGAAAGAAAATCCAGGAAAATAACATTATATTTCCAGAAAAAAACTGAGAGCAAATACACATATTTTACTGAAGAATGGTTCACACATTTAAAAGAAATGTAAATAAAAATGGCCCAAGCATTACTGGTGTATGATAGGAATGAATGAATAAACTCTCTGATCTTTAATCCAATTTAGTAATAGATGTCTAGATTCCTGGGACTTAGACCTAGCCGTAGGGAAAACTATGAAGTAATAGATTTCCCTTTGGGGTCCACAAGCATAATTCCCTTGCCTTTATTCCTAAATTCTGTGTCTGGTATTGCCTTTCTACTAGCCTGTTTATAAAAATTCATTAGCAAGAAAGAATTGAAGAAATGAATAAAGTAGTATGAAAAAGGTTCAATATATACTAGATTCAATAATTTTTTAGGTTCCTTCCTGCTATGATATTCTGATTTCATCACAGTCTATGCAATTTTCCATTCAACAGAGGATAATATGTCCAGTAGAGGAATTAGTATCTAATTGTAAAATTTCAGGCCTGAGTGATTCAGGTGGAGGACACTTTACTTGCATTGCTAAAATATTACATTGGTAGCCAGATTCTTTTGCCTACTCACAAAACCAACCTTAGTTCTAGATCTCATAATAGTACAACTTCCTAAAAAATAATTGTACTCCCTTTCACCTAATTTCCCCCCTAAATCTGAGGAAATTACTGGCCTGCCTATCTCTGACGTGAAAATTTAAGACAAGATAAATTTTAAGGAACAGAGACATGAAAAAACAGTAATTGTGGTTAGAAAGCAAGATGGATCAATAGTTGTTGACTTAGTCTTTCCCATCATATAGGGTCTACATGTTTTTATCTAGGGTGACATAACCAAGTAATAAAGATTTTGAGAAGACTGCAATAGGAAGCCCAAATAATCCTAAATCAAAGATTATCAGGAATTAAAAAAATATTCAACATCTTGACGAAAAAAGCTGAGTTAAATAATGAGCTACTCTAAAAATTTTGGGAAAAGACATGTAGATTAAGAATAATAAACTATGTGCATTTGACTTACTAGTAAAATAAATAAGCCTATAAAAATTTGCAGTAAAATATTCGTAGCCAGAAAACCAGAAATAGAAGAGAAAAGCTGAACAGTAATAGAGAGGTGGAATAAGTGGTGGTCATTTACAATTAAATGTGCACCAAATTTTATCTTTTATCCAGTTATATTTTAAATATACATTCCTTCCCATTTCCCAACTCCCACTGCAGTTCTTAGAAATTTCACATAGAATTAAATTTTTTTCTGTAAATATTCTCATACTACCATCATTTTGTTGGGTTTTGTTTCTCTGAAACAGTTACCTATTCCTGAAAGTAATGCTTTCAGAAGAAAATGCCTGCTTCATAATGCACTCATATGTAGTTCATTTTCTCCAAGTTTCTTTGACTGAGGTCCCTCAAGTTTATATCTGAGGTTGGAAATGAAAATAATTATGTACATGGGGCCAAAGACAATTGTGCTAAAATTATTAAGGACTTACTCTTATCTAGATTTACCCCAAATGTGCTAGTAAATTACATTAAAGTATGAGAAAAATGCAAAAGGCATGTTCTAAAGTTCCATTTAAGGAAATCGGCTTAGGCAGTATTTCCAAACACTAATGGAACGTTTAAAATCAGACACTGCTTAAAATGATAAAGTAAATAAATGAAAAATAGAAAAGCAAGTAATTTTTTATTCACTTTAGGCATAATCCCAAAGCCAGCTAACACTCTAAAGGATAAAATGCAAATGTAAAGTTTTCTAATTTTTCCAGGTACATAAACATAAATTGATTTTCTATGGCCATTCTCTCTTTTTTACGTATGATCATGATAGAAAAACTAGGAAGTGAACAAGAATTAAAGAAAAATAATTCATTTTATTAAAAAGTGAGCAAAGCAATAGTAGGTAGTGATACTGAACACAGGGCTAGCCACTGCTTAGGAAGCAAGCATACATGATGAATATTACGCTGGAAAGGGCCTTCTTAGTGATTTTGAAGGAATAAAAAATTTGCAGATATCTTGGAAGGTAAGAAAGTTTTGTGAGTATTAAAGTCAATATCCAACCAGAAAAACAATTCCACCTCCCAAAATAAAATAAAGTGTATGTTTAAACCAGGAAATTCAGAAGTTGATAAATACTAAAACTGAACATTTTTACACTGCAGTTAAGCTATTTTTGGGGTGTAGCCTTTGAATAAACTCTTATAATCATCTTATATTCACTGAAGTGATTTTCAGTGATTTCCTTCTATTCAAAATCTTGGAACCTGCTTTCAAAGGGATGGGACATGCTTAAAATGAAGGTTTTTCCATAACTAAATCTTATTAAAAAGAAGCCAAGAGGAACTTGTCATATTCTCAAAGATGTTCATATTAATAACAAATTGTAGCAAGAGCCCAGGGCTTGTAAGAAATGCAGAAATATTTTACTTATAATGTTCTTTTGATTTTGCCTTAGCTGGTATGTCTATCTCTCCCATTAAGCAAAGAAGATAATTGTTTGGTGACAGATAATATAGTAGAAAATGATCATAGGAAAATGGAGAACCACAGCTCTACTGAGCTGGTTGAAAAAATCAGCACTACCCACCATAAGTAAATTAACCTAATAAAGACATGAACTGAAAGTGCGGGAACTCAGGCGCTCAGGTGGGGCCCCACTGGTAATTCTGCTGTGTTAATGTTTAAAATCTCTCACAAAGGACTAAGTTGAGAGAAATTGAAAATTTCAGTAGGTAGCAATGTTCATGGAGTTCTTCTCTTTACAACACTCTCCAGTCTGTTTTGGTCCATGATTTAATAATGCAGCAGATATAACAGCTCTGAGTTCCTGGGTACCTCGTGTGTTTAAAGATACTCCTAGCTGTGAAGTGACTGCCTCCAACATCTTCTCACCAAGGCTATTACAAATAGGAATTGTATTTTTGGGAGAGGATATAATTTATGCTGAGTAGAATGAGAAAAAAAAAGTTAGTCTATTTAAATATTTCATAAATATCTCTTTCTCCTCCTTTCTCACTTTCTTTCACCTAGGCCCTCTGGCTGCCAGTATCAGAGTGACTGACGAAAGGGCAGTTGACAGAAGGACCACTGTCCCAACAAAGGCCTTCAGACTTAGTGGAGAAAAAAACAAGGTGCTTTGACCACCACTTACTGGGATGACAACACAGTCATCATCAATCGTAGTAGACTTGACGATTAAAGGTACAGATATTTCAACTGTTTTTAGCTCATGTAAAAATATCAAAACTCTTCTACTTTACATAACTGATCATAGAAATCTTTCCACATAAGATATTTTTCTGAGTTAATAATCAGTTGTATGTAAAATGGGACCAGAAAATAACAAGACTCGTACCGTACACCAAAAAAAAAAAATAAAATAAATAAACTGTCATTGCATTATTCTTCAAATACTTGTATTTTACTTAAATACAATGTACAACCAAAACACTTAATTATAGCTCTAATATTTAAGGCTCCAAAATTGTCTAGATAATGAAGCCCAAAGTACCTCTGGGGTGAGGGAAGGTGGTATGACAGATCACGGAAGGAACATGGCAGACATTTTCTTGGTGACATTCTTTATATGTATAGTTCCATTCTGCTTCTCTTAAAAACCAACTCACTCAGAACAGAAAACCAGATAAGCTAGCAGTGGCTGAGGGGCCATAGGATGTCACTGTTTTCACACCTCCCAAACTAAAAGTTAAAATAACTTAAGATCACAGTGGCAATTTTGTTTTTCTGTAAGAAAATGATGGAATTGAAAAGTTTGAAATTTATGTAAAAAGTCAACTTGTAAAAATGAAAAATGCTTTCCTTATTTTTTGTAAACATATATATATATATATATATAATTAGAGAATTCTAGATGTCCGTTTAACATGTCAAATTATCCTTTTAAAAAGAAAAAAAACCATTGATAATTTAGAAAACAAACTTACTTAAATTATAAAGAACCATGTTTTTCTATTTTGGGTGATGTATAACTTTTGTTATATTTTTGGCTACACGACTGGCCAGCACATTATATCCATTTATTTAACATAATATATTTGAATACCTATACTTATTCACAAAAGCTCAACTGTGCAAACTGCATATCTTTTGATGAACACACAATTAGATTCAGCATCTGAGGTTGCCTCCAACAGCTTTACAAATTTGTTATGCCTGAAGTAGAAACTTTATCTGGGGCTAGGCGTGAGGGAAGAAAGGCATGAAGTAATATTAACGTATTTCTAACGTTGCTGAGTTTATTTAAATAACAAGTAGCAATGGAGGTTACAAAACTCAAAATTGTATAGCAATGCTAATTTTGTATTATCACAGAAGTCATATTTTTAGTTGTTGAACTTTAAACATAAGCCCTATTAATCTGCTAGGAACCATGTGGGTGAATACCTGTGGCTGAAGGACTCAACTTTTGAACTCTGGGTGTCACAGGGTGGCAGCGTGGGGGACAATCAAAAACACCACCGCCCCATCCCTTGGAAATACCATAAATTAAGATACCAATAAATGTATTAATTAATGTTTCATTTTTTTAAATATGTGTACCAAATACTAAGCCACATGTTTGTCCTGGAATGCCATCTGAAATCAAGATTGAAATTAGTATATACATATAATATTTCTATGACATAGAGATGTAATAATACAAATAATATATATCTGAGAATCTGCTATGATCTACCTAGTCTTTATTTTGTGTGTGTGTGTTTCAGGTTGACCTACTTCATGGTAATTAGCTATAGCCCATATAATATTACTTTAAATAATGTATTGGTTTCACTAGCTGAAATTAAAATAAATCCAAAGGCACCCCGGTCTTGGTTACATGTGATTGTCTACCTGATGCTACTTAATGAACTAGACTGACTCTCCTTTAAATGACTTACTGTTTGAATTTTGTGGAAATCCCGGCAAGGAGGATGGACCGTTCATTCCGGGGAGAAGGACTGGAGGAAGGCCGGGAAGTCCGGGGTAGGTTGCTGGCAGGCTGATGCCGTGGAGAGAACTGCTGTCCATCATGCCTGGCTGCTGTACCGTCAAGCCCAGCACGTCTGAAGCTTTCTTTATACGATCAAGTTCTTGCTGTGCCATCAGCTGCCGAACCGTGGTCGGAGCCAAGTAATCTTTCTCCCGATCGAGCTGACTGCCAACGGTCTCCCTCACTTTTGAAATGTGCTGTTTGGAGAAAATGTGATCTCTGATGGACAAGCGGGCAGAGTACTTCACCCCGCAGAGGGTACACTCTGGTTTGGTGCCTTCCGTTCCACTTTGATTGATCATGAAAGGCTTCCCTATGTTAATTTTAAATTTCTTTTCCTTTGCCCTTGCATTTTGGAACCACACCTGGACCACGCGTTTGGGCAGACCAATTTCATTCCCTAGCATTTCACATTCTTGCATGGTTGGAGTTCGGTAGTCGCTAAAGCAAGCCTTGAGAACCTTGAGCTGAAGATTGCTCATTTGCGTTCGAAAACGCTTGTGACCCGGCCGATCATTACTTTTGGATTTAAAGGGATTGGTGGATCCGAATGGATTTGGGGAGCTCGGGTCCGCTATGCTGGACGTTTCGCTGCGGTCGGCGTTGTCATCCGGGTCATCTGTGATGTAAAAACTTTGGTCGTGGTCGCCATCTTTGTCGTTGAAATGGATGGATGGGCTTGTGAGAGAAAAGAGAAATTTGTCATCGCAGACCTCCGTGGTAGGTGTGGTTGCGGGTTTTGGCAGAGTATCCAGAGTTTTTGGCTCTTTGGGAGACAAAGCCGGTTTCGCATCTCCGGAACTTCCTGTGGTGCTTTCCATTTCAGTGTTTCCCTCGTCTCCGGTGGTGGCGTCACTGATTGCCGTATTAATCGATGAAGTCTCATCAAAATCGGTTTTATTTTGATCATACCCAGCCTCAGCAGGAGGGGCATTTAAATTCTCTACATCCTCAGAACACTCTGCTTTAAAAGAAGAAGGGCTTAAAAGATTCTTCGGCGACAGCTCTGCTGTTTTACTAACAGGTGTTGACACTGTAGAAGCCAATTCATTCTCACTTGATAGATCAATTTTAGTTAATGGCAAAGATGGGTAATCAAAATAAATGTATTTCTGTGGGCTTTCTCCCCCATCTTCGGTGGATATTAAAGGGCTTGGTGGCAAGCTGTAACCTGCCTGCTTTCCTTCATTCCAGTGCCGAGAGCGAATGTGGCTTTCTAAGGCCGACTTTGCTTTAAACAGAGCTCGGCAAAACGGACACCGTTTATGAGACTGTGCTGGACCCACCGCCCGGAACTGGCCTTTCCTCTCCCGCGCTCGTGTATTCTGGAACCAGACTTGCACGACCCTTTTTTTCAGCCCTACTTCGCGTGCAATATGATCAAGCATTTTTCTGGTAGGATTGGAATCCAGCAAGTATTTTTCATAGAGTATTTCCAGCTGTTCCGGGGTGATCGTGGTTCTCAAGCGTTTATCTCGGTGTTGATCTTCACCACTATTCCCTCCTTCTTTTTCACTGCAATTATTATCTTCTTTATCGTCCAGTTTCCTTTTTAGGGAAGCAGCAACGGTTGTGGGGGCTGTGGTGTGGGAGGAACTGGCTTGAGGTGGCATTTGAGTGAGGGAACTGCCCAGCAGTTGTCCAGTCATCAGCGGATTGTTGGGGTCGAATATCATGTAGGGCATGTCCATGGGCCTTTCCAAGAATGGAGAGTGAAGGAATTGGTTTTGAGCAGCAAGGAAGTGCATGTGCTGGTGTTCCTGCCAGAGTTCCAGAGTTGGGAAGGCAACTGTACACTGATCACATTGGTATTGTAGTAACTGTGGAGGTAGACTGTTCTGGAGAGACGTCATGGAAATTTGTAGTGGACTGGAAGGGACCGGTGTTTGAGAGGCTGAGGGAGGTCTTCCGATAAGTTGGGGTTGTTTTGGTGGCTGTGGCTGTGGCTGTGGCTGGGCTGTGGATGCCTGCGGTGGGTCTGAGGAAGTGGATGCTAATGGCAGGGTTGGTTTGGTGCCTTGAGAAGGGGGAGAGGGGTCACTCTGCTTTGGCTTTTCTGCGGGATATTCAGGTTTGGGAGAGGTCTTCTCAGGTTCTGGTTTGGGTGATGGAATCAGGGGGGTGCTGGTCCCAGAGCCAGAACTTGCTGCAGGGGCAGCAGTGTTTTTGGCTGCATCCGTTTGGCCAGACGCTGTGCAATGCTTGTACACCACTTGATCGGTGGCATCCATGGAGTCTTCTGTTTGGCTTTCATCCTGGGCATCATCATCTTCATCCTTGTAACACTGCTTTTTCTGATGCGTAATCAAGTCAAAGATCCTGGGGAAAACCACATTGCACTTTTTACACTGGTACTGCATGTTGCTTGTTCGAATGTACCGTTCATTAGTGAGTTCTCTTTTTTCATTATCTTTTGTTTCTGCTTGATTCTCATAACTCTTTCGTGCTTTCTGACGAGCATTCTGGAACCATACAACAATAACCCGGGTAGGCAGATTGAGAACAGTGGAGAGTTGTTCTATTTCATCATCTTTTGGGTAAGCATTTGTGTCAAAAAAGTCTTGCAGAACCCTAAGTTGGTAGTCAGTAAATCTCGTTCTAGAAGACCTTTTGCTGAATGATGCATCAGATTTATAATGTTCTAAAGAGGTGGGCTGTGGATCAATTCTGATGTCTTCTAAGACCGTTATAGGAGGGTTACTGAAGTTGTATGGCGAATCTTTATTTCTCTGTCGTTCCTTAAAAAGTGTATTTCGAAACCAGTGTTTGATAACTTTTTGGGAGAGGCCAGATTTCTCTGCCATTTCCTGGATCTGTTCTTCACTTGGAGAATTATTGATGTCAAAATAAGCCCTCAGGATTTTTAGCTGATCATCTGTAATTCTTGTCCGTGGGCGTTTGAACTGCGAATGTCTTAAAAAGTTGGGATCTAATCCGAGTTGCTGCTGGCAAAGTTGGGTGAGGTCTGCAGATAGTGCGTCCATCTGTGGCAGCTGCAGGGCAAGCTGGGGAGGAAGTGCAGGGTGTTGCACAGGTTGCATCATAATGGAAGGAAAGAGTGGCAGGTCCAGAGAAACCGGCAGTTGGACCTGCGGAGGAGCAGAAGGTGGAGGAGGTGGGGGAGGAGGAGGAGGAGGTGGTGGTGGTGGTGGCGGG